GCCGGGAGCGGTTTCGTGTGTGTGTGTGTGTGTGTGTGTGTGTGTGTGTGTGTGTGTGTGTGTGTGTGTGTGTGTGTGTGAGCTCGGTGATACACTGACAGCTGAACGATACGATGTAACAGGGACCTCTCCGAGAGCAGTCCGCGTGGATTATGTGTTGATTTGATGAGGACGCTCGCGATGTCTCTACACGAGTGTTTCGCACGGGAGTGATCGTCTCGCGGATCGCAGAGCCCGTGTTTCATCCCGTCGTCCGCGGCTGTTACGCCCATCATCTGCGGCGGGGCTCCGTCGATCAGTAACCGCTTGTTGATCCGCACACAGCGGGACTCATGGGGAACAGCACATCATGCTGCGTGTCGTCCAGCCCGAAGCTCCGGCGGAACGCGCACTCGAGGCTGGAGCCGTACCGGCCCGAACCGGAGCTGAGCCGAGAGGACACGGGCTGCAACCTGCAGCACATCAGCGACAGAGAGAACATAGACGGTGGGTGTGATCCAGCATCATCCACACACTCAAATATTATGCGCTTATGTCCATTAATAACCATGATGGTGGAATAACGGCTCACTGAAGAAAGCTGCTCATGAGGGTTATTGTGTTCAGAAAGTATGGTGCTTTTTGGAGAGTTTACTATACCACGTATTAGGTAAAGTACCACGTAAATGCCGTTATTCATACAGTAAGTGGAAGTACCACGGTATTACCCCGCTGTACCACGGTATTACCCCGCTGTGTCACGGTATTACTCGGCTGTGTTACGGTATTACCACGCTGTGCCACGGTATTGCCCCGCTGTATCACGGTATTACCCCGCTGTACCACGGTATTGCCCCACTGTACCACGGTATTACTCGGCTGTGTTACGGTATTACCACGGTATTACCACTGTATTGCCCCGCTGTACCACAGTATTACCCTGCTGTATCACGGTATTACCCCGCTGTGCCACGGTATTACCCCACTGTACCACGGTATTACCCCGCTGTACCACAGTATTACCCCGCTGTATCACGGTATTACCCCGCTGTGCCACGGTATTACCCCGCTGTACCACAGTATTACCCCGCTGTATCACGGTATTACCCCGCTGTGTCACGGTATTACCCCGCTGTGCTACGGTATTACCACGGTATTGCCCCGCTGTGCCACGGTATTACCCCGCTGTGCCACAGTATTACCCCGCTGTGCCACGGTATTGCCCCGCTGTATCACGGTATTCCCCCGCTGTGCCACGGTATTGCCCCGCTGTATCACGGTATTCCCCCGCTGTGCCACGGTATTGCCCCGCTGTATCACGGTATTACCCCGCTGTGCCACAGTATTACCCCGCTGTATCACGGTATGACCCCGCTGTGCCACGGTATTACCCCACTGTGTCACGGTATTACTCGGCTGTGTTACGGTATTACCACGGTATTGCCCCGCTGTATCACGGTATTACCCCACTGTGTCACGGTATTACCCCACTGTGTCACGGTATTACTCGGCTGTGTTACGGTATTGCCACGGTATTGCCCCCATGTACCACAGTATTACCCTGCTGTATCACGGTATTACCCCGCTGTGCCACGGTATTACCCCGCTGTGCCACGGTATTACCCCGCTGTGTCACGGTATTACTCGGCTGTGTTACGGTATTACCACGGTATTGCCCCGCTGTACCACAGTATTACCCTGCTGTATCACGGTATTACCCCGCTGTGCCACGGTATTACCCCGCTGTGCCACAGTATTACCCCGCTGTGCCACGGTATTACCCCGCTGTGTCACGGTATTACTCGGCTGTGTTACGGTATTACCACGGTATTGCCCCGCTGTACCACAGTATTACCCTGCTGTATCACGGTATTACCCCGCTGTGCCACGGTATTACCCCGCTGTGCCACAGTATTACCCCGCTGTATCACGGTATGACCCCGCTGTGCCACGGTATTACCCCACTGTGTCACGGTATTACTCGGCTGTGTTACGGTATTACCACGGTATTGCCCCGCTGTGTCACGGTATTACCCCGCTGTGTCACGGTATTACCCCGCTGTACCACGGGATTACCCCGCTGTGTCACGGTATTACCCCCGCTGTGCCACGGTATTACCCCACTGTACCACGGTATTACCCCGCTGTGTCACGGTATTACTCGGCTGTGTTACGGTATTACCACGGTATTGCCCCCCACTGTGCCACGGTATTGCCGCGCTGTACCACGGTATTACCCCGCTGTATCACGGTATTACCCCGCTGTGCCACGGTATTGCCGCGCTGTACCACAGTATTACCCCGCTGTATCACGGTATTACCTTTTAGTATTTAGTCCGCATGATACATCACTATTACCCCAGTGTACAATGTTGGACATGTGCCATATAAAAATGCATGTTCATAAACTCTAGCAGGTCCCACTTTATATCGAGTGGCCTTAACTTACATTTAAATGATTCATTTGGTACAATGCATTTATTGTGTACATATGTTTTTACGTTGTACTTAGTTCTATATTTAAAAAAAAAAAAACCTGCATGTAATTACATCTGTGATTAATTAATGTAATTAGATTTATAATTACACTATTGACCCATCCCTTACACCTTAACCCACCCTTAAACCTACCCATACCACCAAACCTGTCCCTAACCTTACCCGTATCCCACCTCAGTAGCAACAAAAGGGTTTTGCAATACAATATGAACACAATAAGTATAATGTTCTTATTTTTTTTATGTAAGTGCAGGGCACTTAATTTAAAGTGAGCATTTATGTTGTACTCCAAGCCAAGATAGTGTAAAGAATACTGTGATATTGCCGTGGTAGAGTACCGTAGTGCTTCTTTGTGGTTTGTTTTACTCACTTGTACCATGATAGTACCAACTGTTTTAGGACGTGCATTGTTGATTGTACCATGGTATCCGATCTGTGGTGTGCAGTTAATGGGCATCTGTTGACGTGGAGAGCGGATCCAGCTATGTTCTGATGTAATTTAACATCTAGCAGAAGATAGAGGCTGATGAGAGTGGCATGTGATCGCAGGCAGAGCTCATGGATTTGAGGTATAGCTGATCCAGGAACAGTTACGCTCTGTATCACATGATATTCATCTAGATGTGCAGCATGTAAAATCAATAACCAACATATGATCATACTGTAGGTTGGCGCCATGAACAGTCTTTATATATTGGTTTGTTTGATTTCTTTATGTTGATTTCATGACATTGCCATTATTTAATAAATGGACAATTAATGCTTAATTCATGCATTTTAATTGATCTGATGCTATTTATTGTCCTAGAAATTGGTGTTTGTGATGACAAACTTAGTTATTTTTTATTTTAATTTTTTAAATTCTTATCCAGTACTTAATGACTGGAAATGGCATGGAAAATAATACTTTTTTTTGTAGAACTATTATATCTTTTATTCATATTTTTACTGGGGGTTTTTTTTCAGTTTTTATTTTTATTTTTAGTAATTTTATTGTGTTTAAAAAAAAAAAAAAAATGTATTCCAAGTTTTAATTTTTTTAGTACATCAAGTTAAACTAAACAAAACTTATTTTCTTTGCAGTTGGCTGAAATATACATTTTTATTTTATTTTATTTCAAGTAATGTTTGTTTTATTTCAAGTAACAAAAGTGCATTTTTTAATTATTATTTTATTTAATTTTTTATGGTTTAATTTCAGTTAACTATAATAGCCCTGTTTAGCTCTAAAATATGTCTTTGCCCCAGAAATTGTGTTATAAATAATTATCCAGTAATTACAAATGTCTATCCACGTGTGCCCTTCTAAATTTATCTCAGGTACAATTCTGAGGATGATTTAAAGACGCATAAGTACATCCTTAAGTCCACTGACATACAACTACTTTTATTGCACACTCCTATGATACACTGCACATTGAGGAAGTCCCGTAGTTCATCACAGCTAGCCCACCCATGGCAGCTGAGCTCTTGTGCCGTGAGATGGGAAGGGTGTGATGGTTCGGGGTCAGTCTGTGTCAGTCTCCTGTGATGGGAGAGGAGCTGTACTGTGATTAACTCTGTCCATTGTGATTCAGACAGCTGCTGTGTGAATCAGCTTTATCCCACAGAATAAAGCAATGTCAGAGCTCCAGTTCTCATTCAAGAAAAGCTGCTTCATGTTATTGTAACTGCAACATAATGCAGTGTTTACAGCGTTGGCACATTGCTTGTATGTCTTTGCATCAAACCTTAATAAAGTATTCTAGGTTACCAAGCTCATTAATGTTGCATAATGTTGATAAACACAAGTTAAATTCTGCTGGTTCATGCATGAAATGCAAAACATACAAGAGTGCAATGGTATAATACAACCATCATTTAATTTCTTTTTTCCATATAACCCAGCACTACCTAAAACCCTAAAGTGGCAATTACTGCTCAAATAATACACAAACTTTAACAAGAAGAAAGAAAGCTGTATTCCTCCATACTTGGACCATAACCTTTATATATATATATATATATATATATATATAGTCAAGAAAACGAGAGAAGAGTCAAAATTATTTTTGTGCTAATAAAACATCGTCGCCAGTTCTGCTGATTGAGCTTAACTTTTACCAAACCCTGCATATTCTTTTAATTTTGAGAGTTTATATAATTTAGGATGATAATGTACACTTAGGATACCCTTTAATGTGATACTAAGTGTTTTAAACAAAACTCAAGTATCTTGTCAATGCTTTGCAATTCTTTTGGTAAAAGAGGCAAATGCAACAACTGTTTTTTTCTTCTCTCTGTAGCCTGGTACCTTGATAATATAACATTGTTTGGTACCTTGATGATAAAACATGGTTTCTCAGTGGATCAATTAAAACCTGTTCACCCTAACTCCCTAAAATTGAGGGAGTTTGGAGTTTGCAATTTTAAACGAGGTCTTGCCATGCTACAGATGGTCAGTGAGGCCTTAAGCGTTGACTCTTTCTCCTTAAAGGATAGACAGCATGTAACAGGAGAGTGAAGAGCGAGAAACTAAGGCACCTGTCTGTCTTAAGAGTTAACAGGATTATGTGTGATCTGCCATATGGTCTGCTAGTTCTCTTCTTTGCAACTCTTGATATTGTTTGAATTTTGACTGGAGCCATAAAATCCAGAGTTCCAGACACTTGCTTTGATATATTTGCTGTACTGCAAGACCGCTGTTCATACCAGGGTACAAGTTTACACCTTTCCAAATGCTTTTACTCATTAATATGATTCTGTACAACATCTATACTGTTGCCTCACCAGTCCTGCAGTGCAATGTGACTCTGGCATGATTGAGAGTGCAGTCCAGTAAGGCATTCGTTTGCAAGTACACCGTAACCCTCCAAATGTGAGACTTGAATCAGACATTACAGGGCTCTACAGTCGACCACTAAAAACTACTGCGACTATGATAAAAATATCTAGGAGCACCGTTGCGACTGACCCGATCAGCATATTTGTGTTTGTGATCAGGGGAGCGTTTCTACTTACAGCATGTT